GAAGTTTCAATGTTTTTATGTACATACACAAGGCTTAAACATAAAGTCAATGTTTTGATAATATATTTTGAGGAGTCAAATTTGCAAAAAAAAAAAAAAAAAAAAAAAAAGAAGGAATGAAACTAATTAGAACTCTCTAAAAGTCTCTACATAATTTATCTCTCCAGTATTGGAGATGATGTGAAGGCGAAATACATAGCATAGCACATTGTGAAAAATAATACAGACAATTTAGTGGAAAAAATCTAAAGAAAAGGAAAAGAAATAAATGAAAACCAAAATTTGATATAAAACAAGTGTATTATAAAGACAGATTATGGGCAATTGTGGGGAAATAGTCCAGAAAACACACGCAAAATACTGCTTTACCAGGTTTCTAAGTTTTCCTTAATCCAGTTAAATTGACATCTAAAATTAAGTTTACAAGCTTACCCCTGGTCAACTTGGCACAAATATACAAATCTTTAATCATATTTAATTTCAAAAGTAAGGCAATAAAAAAGTAATATATCTCCCTAACGTGATACAACTCTCCTGTGGTTATGATTTTGAAATTTTGGACATTACAAATTTAGATTTTAATATTTTGAGATTTCAACATTTGGGATTATGGCATCCACGACTGTCTTTCAGGAGTATGATCCAAACCTGGTCATTTGGAGGAGGAAAACATTTTACCCTTTACCAGCCTCTTGCTAGGTATTTGATTTTGGAAGCGTTCAGTGCACAGGGTTCCAATTGTCCATATTCTCATCAACACTTTTTTTCACATTTATTTATAAATGTAATAATCATCCTAATTGGTGAGATGTGGTAGCTCATTGTGGTTTTGATCTGAAATTCCCCGAAGATTAGTGATGTTGAGCATCTTTTCATGCACTTGTTGGCCATTTGTATATCTTCTTTGAAGAAACATCTTTTTAAGTTCTTTGCCCATTTTCGAATAAATGTTTGCTTTTTGTGTTGTTGCATTGTAGGGGTTCTTTATGTGTTCTCAATCTCAATCCTCATTCAGACATATGAGTTGCAAAGATTTTCTCCTGTTTTGTAGGTTGCCTTTTTCCTCTGTTGATAGTGTCCTTTAATGTGGATTTTAATTTTCATAAGATTTAAATTGTTTACTTTTTCTTTGATTGCCTATGCCTTTGGTGTCATATTCAAATTAAGTTTTTGGATATCAAGTAAGTCTCTTGTAGATAGCATATAGCTGACTCATTTTTAAAAATCCGTATTTCTAATCTCTGTCTTTTCAGAGGGAGTGTATTAGTCTGTTTGTATTTCTGTAAAGGAATAGGTAAGGTTGAGTATTTTACAAAGAAAATAAGTTTATTTGACTCATAGTTCCGTAGGCTTTACAAGAAGTGTGGCACCAACTTCTGCTTGGTTTCTGGTGAGGCCCAATGAGGCTTTTATTCATAGCTAGAGACAAGGGGAGCTGGCATGAGAGTGAGCAAGAGAGAGACAAGAGAGGTGTCATGCTCTTTTGAACAACCAAATATTGTGTGTGAACTAATAGAGGGAGATTACACTCACTGCTAAAGGGAGGGCATCAACCCATGCATGAGGGATACACGTCCATGACCCAAACACCTCCCATGAGGCCCCACCTCCTACACTGGGGATCACGTCTCAGCATGAGATTTGGAGGGGACAAATTCTCAAACCATATCAGAGAATTTAATCCATTTACATTTAAAGAAATTACTGGAAAAGAATAACTTAATGCAGAACAGAAACAAGTACTACATGTTCTCACTCATATATGGGAGGTAAAAAGACACATTGAGCTCATGGAAGTAGAAAGTATCATTGTGGTTATTAGAGACTGGAAATGGTGGAGGGAGGGGATCACAGGGAGAGGTTAGTTAATGGCTATAAATTTGTAGTTAGTTGGCAAGAATAAATTTTAGTGTTCTGTAGCACTGTAGGGTAAGCATAGCTAACAATAATTTAGTGTATATGTTTAAGAAGTTAGAAGAGAGGGTTTTTAATATTTGCAACACGAAATGATAAATGTTCCAGGTAATAAATATGCTAATTAACTTTCATTGCATATTATACACATGTATACAAATATTACTGTGGACCACATAATTATGGACAATTCTTACATATCAACTAAAAATTAAAAAATTAAAGTGACTTACAATGTTGAAAAAAGATGTCTGTCATTGTGCTATTTGTTTTCTATGTGTCTTACAGCTTTTTCTTGTCCCTTGTTTTTAGCATTGCTGTCTTTTGCATACTTAGTTAATTTTTTATAGTAAAATATTTTAATTATTTTCTCAATTCATTTTATGTATATTCTGTAACTATGTATGTTTTTGTGATTTCCATGGATATTGCCTATAATATTTTAAAGTTATAACATTTTAATTTGTTTTATTTATTTATTTATTTATTGAGACAGAATCTTACTCTGTTGCCCAGACTGGAGTGCAGTGGTGCGATCTCAGTTCACTACAAGCTCTGCCTCCTGGGTTCATGCCATTCTTCTGCCTCAGCCTCCCAAGTAGCTGGGACTACAGGTGCCCACCACCTCGCCCAGCTAATTTTTTGTATTTTTAGCAGAGACAGGGTTTCACTGTGTTAGCCAGGATGGTCTCAATCTCCTGACCTCGTGATCTGCCTGCCTTGGCTTCTCAAAATGCTGGGATTACAGGCGTGAGCCACTGTGCCCGGCCCCAACACTTTAATTTGTGTTTAAACCAACTTAACTACAATTACATACAACAACTCAGCTCATTTACAGCTATGTTGCCACTCCTTTCAGTTATTGATATCACAAAATTACATCTCTGTAATTCTGTTTATAAAAATCATACACTAATATGGTTTTTAAATGCATTAATATTTTAAATTTTAATTAAAAAGTAAAGTTACAAATCACAGTTACTATAATGCTAGCTTTTTGACTAGGTTTTTAATGTATTAGTTTCTTGAGTCATGTAGAAAACATAAAAAGTTAAGTACCATTCTTAACAATAATACCGACTCAATTTTACAAACACCTGTGTGTTTACTTTTACTAATATCTTTAATTCTTCATGTAGCTTCAAGTTCTGTCTAGTGTCCTGTCATTTCAACTTGTAAAACTCTATGATTTCTTGCAGGGAAGGTCTAGTGGAAACAAAATAGACCCTCAGCTTTGTCTGGGAATGCCTTATTTTTTGTATATATTTTAAGAAGAGTTTTAGTGGTTGCAAGATTGTTGGTTGACATTTTTTTTGTTTCTGTTTTTACCTTTAGCACTTTGAATATTTTAGCCCACTCCCTTCTGGCCTCCAAAGTTTTTGATGAGGAATCTGATGTCAAGCTTACTTAGAATCTCTTGTATGTGACAAGTCCTTTCTCTCTTGTTCTTTTACAATTCTTTCTTTGGCTTTTGACTGTTTGATTATAATGTGTCTCAATGTGACTAATTTTTAGGACATCCTACTTGGATTTTGTTGAGCCTCCTCTTGGATTTTATATTCATGTCATTCATCAAATTTGGAAAGTTTTCAACTGTATTTTCTTTAAATATTACCTCTGTCTCTTTATTTTCCTTGTGTATGTTGGTCTACTTGATGTTGTCCCATAGATCCCTCAGGTTCTGTTTACTCTTTTCTGTTTCTCATATTGATAATTTCAGTTGTTTTATCTTCAATTAATTGATTTTTTTCTTGTTTACACCTCTCTTTGAATACCTCTAGTGATTTTTTTTATTTCATCAATTGTAATTTTCAGCTCCAAATTTCATTTTTACTTCATTGTTGCTATTTTTATTGATCTTTCATTTTGTTCATTCATCATTTTATTGACTTTCTTCACATCATTTTTTTTTTTTCAGCTCTTTGAACATCTTTAAGATTACTGTTTTAAAGTCTTTGTCTAACTGGTGTGAGATGGTATCTCATTGTGGTTTTGATTTGCATTTCTCTGATGGCCAGTGATGATGAGCATTTTTTCATGTGTCTGTTGGCTACATAAATGTCTTCTTTTGAGAAGTGTCTCTTCATATCCTTTGCCCACTTTTTGATGGGGTTGTTTGTTTTTCTCTTGTAAATTTGTTTGAGTTTTTTGTAGACTCTGGATATAAGCCCTTTGTCAAATGAGTAGATTGCAAAAATTTTCTCCCATTCTGTAGATTGCCTGTTCACTCTGATGGTAGTTTCTTTTGCTGTACAGAAGCTCTTTAATTAGATCCCATTTGTCACTTTTGGCTTTTATTGCCATTGCTTTTGGTGTTTTAGACGTGAAGTCCTTGCCCATGCCTATGTCCTGAGTGGTATTCCCTAGGTTTTCTTCTAGGGTTTTTATGGTTTTTGATAGACTGGATTAAGAAAATGTGGCACATACACACCATGGAATACTGTGCAGCCATAAAAAAGGATGAGTTCATGTCCTTTGTAGGGACATGGATGAAGCTGGAAACCATCATTCTCAGCAAACTATTGCAGCGACAAAAAACCAAACACTGCATGTCCTCACCCATAGGTAGTAATTGAACAATGAAAACACTTGGACACAGGAAGGGGAACATCACACACCGGGCCTTGTCATGGGGTGGGATGAGGAGGGGCATAGCATTAGGAGATATACATAATGTAAATGATGAGTTAATGGTTGCAGCACACCAACATGGACCATGTATGCATATGTAACAAACCTGCATGTTGTGCACATGTACCCTAGAACTTAAAGTATAAGGAAAAATAAATAAAAATAAATAAATAAAGTCTTTTGTCTATGTTTGCCATCTGGTCTTTCTGGGGGACAGTTATGTTAGCTTACTTTTTTCCTTTAAAAGGACCTTATTTTCCTATCTCTTTTTATTCATTGTGATTTTGTTGTTATTGGAAACTTGACATGTGAAAGTAATAATGTGGAAGCTATGGAAGTCATATTCTTCTTTTTTTTTTTATCAGAGTTTGCTGTTTTATGCTTTTGTTTTGATTTGTTTTAATTTTTGTAGGCTGTCTATATGCTGAGGGTCAGGCTGAAGTGTGAACTTCTTCTTTTTTTTTTTTTTTTTTGAGCCTGCCCCATTCCCTGGTCACACATAGCGAGTTTCTAATTTCTCCAATGCATGTTGTTGCTTTTGAACATTGTGATATTTAATGTAGAGCTTCACAAAAGGCAAAAAAGAGAAAAATAAAGAGGGGAAAGGTACTTGCAATTAAATGCCCTGAAACCACTTCCATCGGATGGGTAGTGGCTTGCAATTATGTGGGGATGCAACAGTGTCTGCTCTCTTCTGTTTCTGTACTTCCATGATTATAAATAGCAATCATTTATCAGAATACAGATCCAGATATTGGAGGAGAGGGTGTTTATTACCCACCCTGGTTTCTGCAAGCTTCATGCAAGCTGCATCAGGAATATGTGCTTGCCTTTGGACTGGGGTAAGGAATGGGTAGCTGCTGCTGAACTGAAAGCTGAAATTGACTGAAAGTATTGCAATTTACCAACTAAGCCTTCCTCTCAAAGTGGCAAGCTTTCAATTGACTAAAAAGTTTATCAAAATAGTCACACCGGATTCTTCCAGTACAATTGTTGTTTTAGAGAGGAGATGGATTCCAAGTGCTTTCTACTCTGTCATCTTGCCAGACTCCACATTTCTTTTAACTCAGCTTTTAAGAATATTAAATGGAGATAATGACATACACTTTGTCTTCATAGGATTAATATAAGGATGAAATTAAGTAATGTGTATAGAACATACAAGATATATAATGAAGAGCGATATATCTATATGATACTATTGCTAGTATGTTCAATGTAGTAGATAGTATCATTTACATGTATTCACTACCATATTGACATTAGGCTTGACTGTTTTCCTTGCTTGAACCAATACGTTATGAATGAAAGAGGCTGTCAATCTTGTTAGAAACTTTAAGAGCCCACGTGTGTTTCTGTGTTCTGTTTCTTTATGCCATCATGACTGTTAATGTTTAAAAGCTGTGCTGAATGCTTGGGTCTCATAGTGAGTACAGTCACTGCCAATCTGTTATAGACTCATCACATGTGCCAGAAACCAGCCTTTGTTGCTGTTAGTCAAGAAGATTTGGGAGCTTATATTATCACAAAATGGCCTAGTTTGTCCTCACTGACACATGCTTTCTTTGCTTTGGCTATTTCTTATGCTGTCTGACATAGTTTTTGTCATTCTACCTCTGCCACACAAGAGGTTTTTTTGTTTGTTTGTTTTGTTTTGTTTTGTTTTTTCTTTTTAATCGTAACTGGATTCCAAAGGTTTCAATTACAATATGGAGTTAAGAATACCTTATTTGGCTTACTTAGGAATATGTTAGCTGATGAACCCATTGAATCTGTGAAATATCCCCAGTTAGAATGAACCTGCTTCTTTGTAAATAAGAAATTCTGGGTATTTCCTTGTAGCTGAATAGGAGACAAAATAAGTAAATCTAGTTTATTAACATTCAGACTAGTATAGGAAATCTGTCAATATATGGTAGAATTCAACAGAATTAGGCTTTGAAATTAAATATTTCTTTTTAATAAACTAAGGAATGTTGGAAACTAAAATTGAGTTTTTAGTTGTTAAGAATAATTACAATTTGCAGAGAGAAAAATGAGTTTGTTGAAACAAGTATATTCTGTAGAAAAATTTAGTAGAAGACATGTTAATAATAAAATTAAAATACTGATGAATAACATGTATTGAGCATTTAGAATATGTCTAGCTTTGTCTTTCATCATATCATTGAATTCTCTCTGCAAACATTGAGTTAAATAGTTTTAAAATTTAATGTTATAAATGAATACAAGCTTAGAATAGTATGGAAGTTGCCTAAGTTTACATAGCTAGCAAATAGAAGATTGAGGATATGTGCCCACGGCTATCTAACATCAAAGGCAAGCTCTCCTTTATTGACTTGTTATATTTACTGTCTCTCTAATGTAGAACAGTAAGTTAGTCTGAATACTAATACATTTTATAGGGAGAATCAGAGAGGCTGGATTACATTATCAAAGCTTGCCTTAAGGAGAAAAGCTTGTTATAGTTCATCTAAACCTTGCATTTTTAAAAGGTCTTTGCTGCATACATGTTTAAAAGTTATTTCATCTAGTGGGACAAAGAGGAAGTCCATCATTAAATGCTGTATTTCATGCAAGTTCTTATATAATTCACATGTATTATATAACAACATCACTTTAGAAAAGAAGATTTAGCTATAAAATGTAGATATATAGATAAAACCTGCCCTAATAACTTATTCCTCCCTGCCAAATACACTCTTTGCATAGATTAAAGAATGAATGTCATATAATCCCTCTCCAATTTTGCTACATTCTGTTTCAAAATATTTTGGTATCTAAAGTATGTTATCCCAAGTCACTCAAATGAAAATATTAGCTTACACTTTAATTTCTGTCTGTTTTGTTCACTGCTCTAACTTTAATACTTTGAATACTGTCTGACATATAGTAATGTCTGGCATAAATATTTGTTGAGTGAATAAATACGTGAATGAGCTATGACAATCAATTCAGCTTGCAGTGCTGCCTCAAACACATGATTCATTGCCCATTTATATATGCTGAGAGTATCCTTAGCCTTATCATAGTTAGGTCAATTTGCTTTGTTTATCCAAGGAAATGAGTCCATGCTAACTAATGAAAATTGGATGTAGATAGGTCTTTAGGATTTTGTTTTAATTTGGAGGGTGAGCATATCTACTCACAATTTAAGTGGAAAGTTTTAAAATATAAATAGGTGAAAACACTTGTATCAATAGGAAAAATAAAAGGGGGTTCAGAGGGGTAAATTATATAAATGAGATTACTAGAAAGCAAAAAGTCTATGAAGGCGTGTTGATAGATGAAAGAGAACTGAAAGCATACATGAGGATGTTTCATGACAGGTTATCTTCCCATGGAACCTAATACATAATGCGGATTTGGAGTCAGCTCTTTTCAAGGGTATAAGTATAGAAATGTGGCTTAAAACAGAAGTAGTTGAAGATTTGTCTGTAGAGTAGCTGTGCTAGTAAATCATTTATTCCAATGCCCCTTTCTACATGCATACTGGAATTTACCTTAAAATAAAACGTTCTATTAAATATGAAAATAATGCCTTGGGGAAGCTAAAAGATGGTGGGTGTTGACATCACAAAGTAAAGTACCTTCCTGTATGTTGTTCCTGGGATGATACGGGACATCCTTCCAGCTGGCTTCCTATCCCCAGTACAGTAGGCGTCATTTCCAAGGAGCTCATCTCATGTGGCTAGGGGAGTCACTTAGCCATTTCATTCCGAAGAAAGGCCTTCTGAGAAAGGGAACTACATAGATAGACCACAACAAAGAAATCATAAACAACACTTCCTAGATAAACTTTCCTTTTTGAAGCTAAAAGAAATTTAATACACACAAGCAAAAAAAAAAAAAAAAAAAAAAAAAAAAGGAAAAAGAAAAAGAAACCCTCAGCAGACTAAAAAAATAATTAAAGCAAACTTTTCTGGAGAATACAAAATTAAAGCATAGGAGAAATTAAACAAAGCCAAACAAAACTCTAATTTTTAGCCCTGGAGAAATTAAAGAAAGTGGTAAAACCATAATTTAAAAAATAGCTATGAAAAAGAAAAATATCACACAAAATAGTTATGAAAAATAAAAAAAAATTTCCATTTTTAAAAAATTAAGAGATGGGTTGAAAGCCAAAGTCTAAAAAATTTCAGAGCACAGAACAAAGTAACAATTATTCCTCAGTACCTTAAAATTATAACGATAGCATTTCCAGAGAAAAAGAAAAGAGAAGAAAAGAGGCCCAGCGTGCTCACACCGAAATCCTAGCACTTTGGGAGGCCAAGGTGGGCAGATCATGAGGTCAGGAGATCGAGACGATCCTGTCTAACACAGTGAAACCCCGTCTCTACTAAAAAAATACAAAAAATTAGCCGGGCATGGTGGCCTGCACCTGTAGTCCCAGCTACTCGGGAGGCTGAGGCAGGAGAATGGCAGGGAGGAGGAGCTTGCAGTGAGCTGAGATCACGCCACTGCACTGCAGCCTGGGCGACAGAGGGAGACTCCGTCTCAAAAAGAAAAGAAAAGAAAAAAAAAACAGGAAAAGAAAAAGAAAAGAAACGAACAAAATAGGAGGTAAGAAAAGGCAGAAACATTGTGAATAATATTTGTAAAACCTAAAGAAAGTTATGGATTTTTGGATGTAGTCAATCTAAAAATCTTGTCTATACCCATTATAAGGTTTTCAAATAATGAAGATTAACAAAAACAATACTCAGAAAGGAAAAATTACACTAAAAAAGCTAGAATTCCTCACCTACGATAATTAGAATGCAGTGAGAGTTGTCTTCAAAATTTTACATTAACTTTTATTTTTTTATTTTATAAAAAATGCAATTTTTATGGGTACATTGTAAGTGTGTATAGTTATGGGGTACATGTGAAGTCTTCATTACTAAGGAAACAATATTAAACCTAAATTTGTCAATCCAGTATAAAGATAAAATTAAGGATAAACAAGGAATCAGAAAATTAATCACCCATGTATGTTTTCTGAGGAAGAAACTTGAGAAAGTGCTCCAGAAAGCTAGTGAAGTAGGAAGAAAAGAAAATTGAATTTCAGGAATTAATAGTCCTGCTTCAGAAGTGGAATAAAGAGAACTCAAATAATTACAACTATGCAACTGCCAGGAGAATAAATGTTTCCTAGTTGATCAAGAGAAGAGAAAGAAAGAGGGAGTTATTTGCCAAATAACTGTGACTGAAGAGAAGAATAACTTTGAAAATATGATGAAAACCATTCCACATTTTGTCAACAAGAAGAAATAAAGACTGCTAGAAAGAGATGAAAAAATACACAGGAAAGTAATGATGTCAATGTATATCAAAACAAATAGGGCATGAATTTGATCTAGTAGAATGTAGAAAATATAATCTATTTGCTTTTAAGCCAAGGAATCTTTTCTTTCCACTGTTGTTGGGTTCATGACATTAGACTCTGAGAAAAGGAAACAGAAGCCTAGGGACCTTTCAGTTCTAATGATTAATATTTGTATAGTCATATTAATGCAGCTTTTGTTTGTTGGTTTTTAAGTGTTAGAATCAATCAAAGGAAAATATACATAGTCATGGTTATGAAAGAAATGTGTGTGCATCATTCTTGAAAACATAAAAAGAGAGGTTTAATTTATAAATTAAGAGATCAAAGTGTGGAGGAGCAGTTACTGAAAAGAAACTTAGATTAAATAAATATATCATAGTTTTTAGAAAATAAATGTAATCATTAATCTATTATTTCGGTTTATCAATGTTAGCAATGGAGGAACTGAAAATATCAGTATCTCTCGGAAATAGAGGGAAAAAGTAAGTAAAATGAAGTATAATGAGCCGAATCTTCATATTTGAGAACAAGAGTTTGTAGAGACTATTGAAAGAGAAAAATAGTATATTAGTGTTGAAAACTCACAATGAGAAATAAAAATATGCATAGTTGCAAGCATTTGCTTCTGAACTTGAGGTGGCCGGTGTGGAAGGGTAGGCTGAAAACTGGCATTTTTCATTTTAAAACCTGCACCCATTGATTGCATGAATTTTCATGGGAATGTACTTTTTGTTTAAAAATAATATTTACATGAAGACAGTATTTTGCTATGAAACAGCCAAAGTGCATGGAGTTTGAATTTCCCAATCTGAAAATAGAAGAAGGACATAACGAGATTTTCATGAGATATTCTTTTGAAAAATAAAAGAGCTCTTACTTAGACATGTTCATAAAAAACTCATCTGAAATGAAATTACTACTTGCTGGTTGATAATTGACAGAATGACACCACTCCATTTGTTTGGACAGGATCAGTAATAAAACCAATAAACCAAGATGATGAAAATTCTGTCTGTGTCAGTGATTTCTCATAGGCATAAAACCGAACTAAAAATGGTTGTAACACTCAGGTTAATACTCTAGAGTGTTCAAAATCAGAAGCCCTCACATTTTCAGCTTTCTGGACATATCAGTAACCTAGTGACATAAATGCTGCCTTATAATTTTAAGAAATAAGTATCTTTAGATTGATAATTATCCATTTGTAAGGAGGAAATGTCTTTGAAAAGTTACCACCACAATGTGACGTTTATATTTAGGTGGAAAATATTTTTATTAGAACTTGTGGGATACAAAAAAAAAAAAGCTATGAAAATGAAATCCCAACTTAAATTGCTTGAAATTGCATTTCAGTTGGCTGAATAAATTTATGATGGATTTTTCCTTCTATAAAAATGAAAGGTTAATGAAAACATTACGTAGTTTTCATTTTCAGGTGCAGAATGGCTAATAGAAAAGTGGCTTAATTTGTTTCTCTCTCAAAATAGAATAGTGTTTAGACATCAAACTTTATGTGCTATTATGGTAGGGAGTATGTTTTGCCACATTTTTGCTTGCAAAACCTTGACACTTTCGTCGCACTTTCTACTTTGCATTCTAGGTTACATTATTTAATATGGGGGGCAGGGCTATTTCTTTGTAGGCTAAAGAAGAAATGTTTTTCTGTATCAGCTGGACAGCTTGGCAGAGAAAGTGAGGGGGATAGGTATTTTTTTTCTCTGTTATTGAAGATAAAAAGTAAAAACACATATTGGCAACAATCCAATAATTTGTCAAAGACTTTGCCAGTAGAAAGACTGATGTATTTTGTTGCTGATGACTAGAACAAAAATGCAATTCTTGAGTCAATCTTTCAATGTCATTTTCAATATATTTTACTTATAGGAGCTTTTTAAACAAAATTGTTCTACTGTATCTGTGGAGTAGAATGAAAAGCAGAAGTAATTTGTTAAGAACTTCAGCAAGTGAAAATGATTTATTCTGTAAATACCCAGATAATTGAGAAAAGCTTTATATATTTATTTAGTATTTGTTGATTGGTTGGTTCCAAATCATTAAAATTCTTCCTTCTAGTTCTGGAAAAGTCATCCTTCCGATTATAGTTAGCATTAGATGTTTACATACAACTCTAAAAATCATTGATTTTATTGACTTTTCTTTTACTAAATAAATATGCTATAGACAAGCTTGCTCAATCTGTGGCCTGTGAGCCACATGCAACCCAGGATATCTCTGAATGTGGATGAATACAAATTCATAAGTTTTCTTAAAACATTGTGAAGTAGTTTTGCAATTTTTTTAGCTCATCCGCTATCATTAGTGTTAGGGTATTTTATACGTGGCCGAAGACAGTTCTTCCAGTGTGGCCCAGGGAAGCCAAAAGATTGGACAACCCTGCTATAGTAGCTCTCTCAAAGTTTAAATAATCTGTAATGGATTAAAAGTGGTTTTTATATTATCTACAAAAATTATTTCTTCAAGCTGTGGCAAAATTTCCAAAAATAGTTGGGGAAAATTAGGGGTAGATTAATCTGAGAGAGTTGTTGTACAGAGCAGCAACAAAAAAAAAATATTTTATGAAAAACATCTTTTGCTGCATTCCCTATTTTGCTTAAATGCATTATTTTATTTTTTAACCTTTAAAGGAAAGAGGTTTAATGGACATACTGTTCCACATGGCCAGGGAGGCCTCACAATCATGTGGAAGGCAAAAGAGAAGCAAAAGCACAGCTTCCATGGTGGCAGGCAAAACAGCTTGTGCAGGGGAACTTTCATTTATAAAACCATCAAATCTCGTGAGACTTGTTCCCTACCATGAGAAAAGCACAGGAAAGACCCATTCCCATGTCTCAATTAACTCCAACCAGGTCCCTCCTACAATACATAGGAATTATGGGAACTACAATTCAAGATGAGATTTGGGTGGGGACATAGTCAAAATATATCATTTCACACATGGCCCCTCCAAATCTCATGTCCTCACATTTCGAAACCAATCATGCCTTCCAACAGTCCTCCAAAATCTTAACTCATTTCAGCATTAAATCAAAAGTGTGTAGTCCAAAGTCGCATCAGAGACAAGGCAAGTTCCTTCTGCCTATGAGCCTGTAAAATCAAAAGCAAGTTAGCTGCTTCCTAAATACAGTGGAGGTACAGGCAATGGGTAAATACACACATTCTAAATGAGATAAATTGTCCAAAATGAAGGGGCTACAGGCCCCATGAAAGTACAGAATCCACCAGGATGGTCAAATCTTAAATCTGCAAAATGATCTTTGACTCCCTGTCTCACATTCAGGTCATGCTGATAAAAGAGATGGGTTCCCATGGTCTTGGGCAGCTCTACCTCTGTGGCTTTGCAGGGTACAGCCTCACTCTTGGTTGCTTTCATGGGCTGGCATTGAGTGTCTGTGGCTTTTACAGTTGTACGGTAGAAAC